AAATAAAAACCGTGCATCATATGAGCTACAGTCTACACTCTCCAAAGGGGTTGTATAGGGGACTATTATAGGCGAATATTCAGGGGGATGCTAGGTGTTTAGATTGTGGCTCACATGTTGTCTGTTAAGACCGGAGCTTCAGGGGTGTTCTGAAATACCCTTTTTATAAGCATAAAGAATGCCTATATCTCAGAGAGGTTCATCCTGCCTTGCAACTGAGGACATTGATCCCAACCATGCAGTCACAGCTATTGGCTGGGGGCGAGACAGTTGGATTTGCTTGAACTCTTGGGGGGATACCTGGGGTGAAGGCACCAGAGGGTTCCTTTTGAGGTTATTGAAAATCAAGCTCTCAATAGCCCTAGGCGTGTGCACGATTTGTTTATAGTTTAGCGGAGTCTGGACACGAAACGCCATGCATGGGCCGCGCGTTTGCAGGCGGTAGTTTCCGCGTGGGTCTCTGCGTGCTCACCCACGCTGTCATCCCGACAATGAGCCTGGCAGGCAGGCAGTGCAGTCTGTAACACACCTTGAATAGTTTTAATTTGGCACTCGGAGGGAATTCACAGCGCTTCTCGACAATTTTATAGAGATCATGGGGGCACGTCTTCTTTGCAGCGTTGAAGGAGTAAGGGGCTCCTAAGCATCTTCTTCCAGTCAGTGTTTTAGTTGCCATAAGAGTGACCTCTTGAAGGGTTAAAAGGCTTGGGGTATCTTTGTATAGCTCCAAGATTTCTGAGGGTACTCTCACTATCTCTCTCCCGAGGAACGCCCAGAAGTTCCCAGACTGAAGTTTCCACTTCGAAGTGGGATTTAGGGACTAGGGGTTGGGGTTTAAGGTTTAGGGTTTGTGCTTCCGACCCTTCTTATGCAATGCTCGCACGATCCCGCATACACGTACGCGAAGTGCCGACGAACGCGTACGGTAAGTGCTCTGAGGTTTATTCTGTTGGATAAGCAGTTATAATGGTCAAAATGGTTATAGTACTTATAGATAAGAGTAACAATAGTAATAGTAGTAATGATAGAGTAACAGTAGTAGTAGTAGTAGTAGTAGCAGTAGTAGCAGTAGTAGCAGTAGTAGTAGTTGTAGTAGTAGTAGTAGGAGGCCACGGCGTTTCATTTTGCCGTTGGTTATTCCCTATATTTTGCTAGTTTTCGTGCTCAAAACCTGCGTTTCGGAGCGATTCGCGTTTATGGGTGCGGCGCTTGAAAATGGTGCTTTTGACAAAACGTGATTTTTTCGGTTGCGTATTTTTTGGGCTTGCATGCGCGCGAAACCACCGTTTCGGCAAAATGTTGTCTTAAATTTCCGTCAAAATTGCAGACACGGTCTTCCGACCTGTGTTTTTTAAAGGCACTTTTCTGGTGTGCGGATTTTTGAGTTTTCATTTTTTTGGTGTGCATGCCCGCGAAACACCAGTTTCGGCAACTTGTTGATCTTAATTTGTTCTAGCACTCGCGCCCACGGTCCTCCGAGAAACGTCATCCACAGTTTTCCACATGTTTTATCTGGCCGTTTTTTCAGCGGCGTCTTTTAGGTGTTGGCTTTTTTTCGCGTGCATGGGCGCGAAACCCCAGTTTCGGCAACATTTTCTCTTCAGGTTTCGTTTCAGTTTGTGTTTTGATGAGTACGATGACCGGAGCATCCATGCCCAAAGCCATAATTCCATTCAGCTTCGAGTGAATGCGATTACCAGAGCGTGCATGCCCAAACCATAATTCCGTTCATGTTTTGATGAGTGCGACGACCAGAGCATCCATGCCCAAGCCAGAATTCCATTATTTTTTTGATGAGTGCGATGACCGGAGCATCCGTGCCCAAGCCATAATTCCGTTCATGTTTTAATGAGTGCGAGTACCAGAGCATCCATGACAAAACGATAATTCCGTTTCTGTTTCAGTATCTCGCTGAGGCGGTGTTTTTCCTGTAGCTTGGTTCTGCATGACGACGTTGCTCTTACTTTTTGCCTTATTGATACTACTTGCAGCACTCTGTCAGGTGGATTGCTTACGTAGGATTTCGGGTGCAGACGCATTTATTCCAGTGCATCATGTTGCTTGCTGGCAGCCGGGGGCTTCAAGAGTTTGCCGCACTTCGTATGTAGCATTCTCATTCAGCAGAATGTCGGATTAGGTCTTGCAGCTTAAAGGGCACTCTTGTCGGGGATGGGGTATCTGATTCCTTATGAATCAGACCGGCAGACGGGAGCGTGCTGCCATGGATGTGACCACAAGTAGATGCGACGACATCTTTTACTCTCGGCTGGATGCGACCGAGTTATTTGCTAGCGCCGTCGATGACATCTTCTATGCTCCGCTGGATGTTGATCTTCTGTGCACGGACCAGGACCCTTCCAGACATTTGCTGAATTGCTCTCGACCCGTAGACCCTAAACCTTGAAACCGCCTTCTTTCATGTTGGCAGGAATACTCCGAGCTATCTTCCCGCTGCTCTGCTGCCACTCTGGCATCTCTTGAGCCTGGCTTCGACTTGGACTTCGTTGGAAGCAGCCCTGCCGCTGAAGATTCTGCCGATGTAGACTCTGCTGCCAAGTCTTGCTCGCTTGAAGAAGAGGCGTTGATGCTTCAAGCATGCCTGAAGGCCGAGAGGGAGTTTCCTGCATCCTCTCGGGAGAGTGCTTTCTCAGCTCCATCTTCCAGTAGTCTCTCTGCCCGCGAACTGGAGCATTGCATGTGTCACGCTACCTCGACTGCTGGTCCTGAGTGGCCTCTATTTTGGGATTGTTTTGATGGATGTTCTTCTGGCTGTAGGATTCTTTATACTTTCTGCATGCAGTAGATTACTTTGCAGGGAGAGACTGTGGAACCCTTGGATCCATGTGCCAGCCCTTGGTCGCGGAAGTTCAAGCACTGGTATTTTGACGTTTATCTTCGCGCGGCTTCCGGCAGCTCTTCGGCACCTTGCCTACGCATGAGTCGGTGTAGCTGGGTATACGCGTACTGCGGGTGGGGTGACGTATATAACCAGGTCTAGAGGGACGTGCTGCGAAGGCTATTTTCTTTGACGGCTTGCCTGTCAGGAAGACACACCAAATCTTAACTCACGTGTTCGGGTTAGAGTTCCAGGTGTAGGGTTTAGGGTCGAAGGTTTAAGCTTTTCGAGATTCTGTTTTGCTGTCCACTTTTTGTTATCTGCCTTGAGAAGTTTTTATCAGGGAGGGGTCAGGGTTCACGCCTCGCCTGCAGGATTCATCGGATGGTGGTGTTCCCGCACAGCACGGACAAGAAGACCAGGAAAAGTCATCCGTACGAGGACTCCATCCGATCAGGCTTTTCTTCTCCCCCATCTTTAGACTCGGACTTGGTAGAGCGCGCAATACAGCGCGACATCGACCAGCACACTGTCAGACTGGGAGGACAATCAGCCTGAAGCGCTGAGTTCCCGATTCTATGCAGCTACTAAGTGGGGCAGGTGTCCCAGACCAGACATAGCGAGCCCCTACGTCCCGTGTGCCGTCGCACGGGTCCGCGCAGAGGACGACCCTTGTTACGATGCAAACTCTGGTTCACGCCGGGAGTGCAGCGGGGATGTTGGTACAGCCTGGACTTTATGGGCAACCCTGACATTCTGCCAAAGCAAGTTCAGCAGGTGATGCGGGAAGTTCGAGGTCGTGTGGACTGGCAGCTACAGCACGCATCCCGCCCGTGAACACACCCTGTCTTACAGAGGTGCGTGCGTAGGTTCTCTGACCATGTAATTATCTACTGCGTGTCCAGTTCTCTGACAAAGGTGTCCTTAATATTCCTTAATCTTCTAGAATTGAAGATACTGCAGCAGAAGCTGTCCTTTCTTTTTTGACGGCGTGGCTTTCATTCAAGAAGGGGAAAACTCGCTGTATTTGTGCATGCTTGTACCTGCTTGACTGTTGCGCCCACGCACGGCCTTGAAGCACATGATCTTGAGGGCTTGAAAAGCAGCACGTTTTTCAAGTGTGTTGTCCCTGACTGAACTCCTTTTTCACGCGCGCAGCTCCTGCGAACCCTGCCTTATTTAAGGGGTTAGAGGGTAGGCAGGGCTTCGAGTCTTCTGTTGTAACCTGAGCCTTGTGGACATGTTTACTTGCTTCTGAGGGCTTGCAGGCTTGGACGTCTTTGCGTTGCAACCTGTGCCAGGGTGAGGGGCTTAAGTGGTTGGAAGGGTTTCCACGGCTTGGCGTATTTACATCTTGACTTGCGCTTTGGATAAAGATCTCGAATGGTTTAGAAGGTTCCCAGGGCTTGGAGTGTGTGCGGCCTGACCTGTGCTTGGGTGACGGGTTTAAGTAGTTTAGAGGCTTTGCAGAGTCTGGGCGGTGTGACTTTCTGGCTCAAACTTCTCCTCTGCAGGACCTCTGCCTGCGTTAGCCCTAAAAGCATTCGACCCTGAAACCCTTACACCCTGAAACCTTGTTCTGTGCAGGAACCGTGCCTTGGTAAACCCTAGACCCTAAAACTCTCACCCCTGAAATCCTGGTCCTATGGAGGAACGGTGCCTTGGTTAACCTTAAACCCTAAAGCTCAGAACCTTGAAAACCTTCTTCTCGGCAAGGACTGTGCCTTGGTTAACCGTAAACCCCAAAACCCTAAACCCTAAAACTCTGTCCTATGCAGGAACCGTGCCTTGGTTGAAACTAATCCACACATGTCTAGGCATATATATATATATGCATATATTAAAGCATGCATTACTACGGCCAAGAAAACCATCCAAAACGAAGAGTTCCGGCGGAGATTTTTTTTAGACCCTTAAAATTACGAGTGCCGCGCCTGCCAGTGTTTTTGAAGCCTCTCATACGCGATAACCCATGGCAAAACAAAGCTCCGTGACCTAGTAGTAGTAGTAGTAGTAGTAGTAGTAGTAGTAGTAGCCGCCCCCCGCCCTACCAACTATGTTTGCTTAAAT